ACGACAGCTCAGAAGCCCCTACCTCTGGGCTGGAAACAGTGGGACTCAGTACCTTGGTCTGGTGGTCTGGTGTCCTCTGCGTCTTTGTAGTGTGGAATCAGGTGGCTGCCTGTCTGCAGTGGGGTGATTGGGTGTCTTCCAAGTGACTCAGGACCTCAGTAGGGCATGCACAGACCTGCCTGTCTGCAGTGGGCCGACTCGGCATGTTCCCCGTGACTGGGGACCTTGGTAGGGTGTCGTTTTATTAATTTTTAATGTCTTATAATGTGTACTAGAAAACTAAGTGCCAGTGAAATGGAAAGCACTAGGGAAAAATGTAAAAATGTTTAGCAGTTGTACCACACATAAAGAAACATTAGCAATGTGATTTTTTTTTTAATTTTTTTTTTTTTTTTTTTTTGGTACCAGGGATCGAACTTGGGTCCTTACACTTGCAAGGCAGGTGAAGGAACCACTGAGCTAAATCCCCGGCCCTAGGTCTATAGACTTTCTTACACACTTCTGCAAAACTTCATTACTTCCCTGGCTGTTGAACTGACACTTCAGTTGGCAAAAAAGCTGGTCACATACTATGTCAATTTGCTGATTAGTAGCTCTATTCCTCGACAAGGTTACCAAGCTGCCCTCTGATGTCTCATCCAGTGTGGAGTTAATGTTGTTCCAGGAGGTAATGGAAATGAGCCGAGCCCTACATTAATAAAGCAGACCGGACAGCAGGTCAGTCTTGCATTTCGGTCTTTATGTGTAATCAGGTGGTTTATCACCACAAATCCTGTCTGTCAAGTTCCCCCAAATAGGCTGGATTTATGAATACAGTTTGTTACTCCATGTTCCAGTAATGAGCTCCTCTACTGGTGGTTGCTCAAAGAACCACAGAAACGCAAAGCAGAGGACCTGTCACTAGAGAGCACGCTACATAGGCAGTGGGAGTTGGATAGGGCTTTTAACTCCGTGCCACTGATGGTAATTTTTGGTTTCTTGCCTGATTTGCCTGGGGCAACTAAAAACATCACCTGAGTTTTATTCAGGCTAATTGTCAGCCCGTGCAGTGGTCCCAGATTTCAGACATGATTGACAATCAGCTAAGTATCCTCAGGTGTCTGCAACTCCAGATCGTAGTCATTAGCATGCAGTTACTTGGACTGGCCTGGCCCCGAGATGTTTGTGGTGGCCGGCAATCTGCTGAGTGCAAACAGCTCTGGGGAGAGCGGCGGCACTCTGTCACCCAGGGGTTCACAGCTCTTGCCGGCTCACTGACAATCTCTGCATAGAGGAAGCTGGACGGCGAGGGGACTGCTGACAACCTTGTTTGACACCCATTTGTGTGGGAGGAGGTGCAGGCTGGACGCCATCTGTCCTGCCTTGGCTGCCCATGCATCATGTGGCTGTTGCTCCATGTTGATGGATTTCTTTGAATAGCTGCGTGTGTCATGCATTAGCTAAGTAAAAAGCAATGTATGAACCCTGGTGCTGCTGATCACATTTCTTCTCATTTTAGAAAACCATAACGACAGTCTCTGTAGCTTGTCTATAATTTTAAGAGACATACATGACTATAAAATAGATGATTATATCTACATATTACATCCTTTACCTCTAAAATCTCAAATACATGTCAAACTTTTCTTTTTCTATTCTTCCTAAACACATCCTCAACACAAATGTGCCTGTTATTTTTTTGGGCGGGGTGCCTCTAGTGCGTCATTGAGTAATTAAACTTGTATTAAAATTAAAGCCCCTACAAACAAGCTGTCAGCAATTACATCTAAAAACAGGGTTGACATCAGATGTGCTATGTACTGAAGCATTATATCTTCTTCGGGGAAAGACAGTTGAAATTATGTAGTGAATATGATTTTTTCCCCGGTCTGAGAAAAAAATCCAAGGATTGCAAACATCCACACGTTCTCACTCTACTTCCTAAGAATCGCTTTGACTTCAGACCCGGGAGGGTTTTCATGGCCCCGGTGGGGGAAATGTGTTCCTCACATATAAGGGCTAGGGTGGCCTCGGATGCAGCGCCTTCCAAGCCTTGGTTTTCATTTGAGAGGACCTCTCAGGCAAGCGCTCCAGCAGGACAAGGGAGAGGCCTCTGGGCTTTCAGCCCAGCCTTCTTCAGGCTCTTTCCAGAACACTTCCTGCTTGTCTTCATCTCTGGTTGCTAAGAGTGACCTGCTCCTCCACAGGGAGACAGAGATGCCTGCGTGGGCTTCCTGCCCTCGCCACTCTTCTCTGAGGGCCAAGCTTTCCAGATTTGCAGAGTCCAAACCTTTAGTCATAAACTGGAAGCCACTGGGCAATGTTCTGATCACAGGTACATTTTGCTTGCCCTCAATAGCGTTATCAAAAATTGGACATTTCGCCCAAAACATCTCTCTTTTCAGCTTTGTTGGAAAAATCAGAAGATGTGTTAATCTTAGAAGAGATTTCTGGATGGCAGCAAACCCCTGAACCCAGGAAAAGCTGGTTTTTAGATGGGTGGTACCATGGGACTGGCTTGGCTCTCCTTAGTGTTTCATGCTTTTCTTCCTTCTTTCATGTTTTGA